TATGTCGCCATAAACAAACTTGTCGACTATTTCGACGGCTGATGGCCGGCTACGACTATCAGAAACGTATTTTTGGACGACTGAAAGGTCAAGAGGTTCTACATGTACTAAAGGGATTTGTGAGCTAATCAGATCTGCAGACTGCGAAGAACATACGCTGGCGTCTGCCATGTCTTCAGTCGCGATTTTAGCACAGAGAGACGGTGGGGAGGCCGCAAGCTTTCGTCTTTTAGCACGTGCTCTGCGGGGCATTACAGACAGGAAAAGTTTTTCGTTACAAAAGAAGGGTCGACACGTTGGCAACGTTCGGAAAATCGCACTTAATATCAAGTGCTAGTGTTATTTTACTACGAAAAATAGAAAGAGTTAGTAGGGAAAGAAGTCACTACAAAGGTTTTTTTACAAAATACGACTATTTTGCAAAACTGTCAAATAAAACTGGGAAAAATTATATCTTGTATTGAAAGGCGACTATTAAAAGGGGCTCAAGTCAAAAACAGGCATTAATTGCTTAAGAATATCCAGATAAATGCAAAGCTTCACTTATTCTTTGAAATTGAGCTGCGCGGTTTAATATCCAAGACAGAGGGTATGGACTCGTTGTACCGCCTAAATTCCTGTCCCTACGTATACGACAACTCTTTCGCCCTGTCAAGTTTGACTGTCTCTGCGAAAAAGACTTTTTCACAGATATTCGGATACCGTCATCTAGGAAAAAAATAGTTTCTATTTATCTGGCTCCATAACACTCCAAATTCGCAACAATTTTGTGGAGTTTGTTGGCTCGCTACTATGTCTTTTTCATTATGTTACATTCTCGTTGCTGTTACAGGTATGCGGTTAAAGTCTGAGACCTAACCTAGCTTCGTTAGCTAACAAGGTAAAACAATCACAAAAACTTAGCCAAATTAAAACGCACATTTTAAAACGGTGTGTGTTGATAATTTTGGAGTCGCTCTTTCTATCGAGGAATCGGTGTATATTTTTTGCCGCTGTTCGCACCGTCTTGTAAAATGCTCCAGAAAATACTTTTTCATCTTATTCTTTTGAATTATGAGATTGCAGATGGAATTAAAATATGTAAGCAATTTTTCGTGTAGTGAAATCGTAAGTCTCTCAAACACAGCAGCTTGCGCCCGTCTTAATGAAACCGTTTACCAATAACCGTGACATGAGGATCGTGCGTGTCATGGTTCCTCCACACACTCTAGCGTTCAATGTGGAAAGTTCTGCTAAGAAGGCAGATGAATGTGACATATGTCACATTGGTATTGAAATGTGAGTTTACATTTTTCATTTAAATTAATTTAAATGAAAAAACAACGAATTCGTTGTTTGAAGGAACATTCGGCCAAAAAGTCTGCTGGTAGGGAGACCTTTTCAAGTACCTCTTCCATCGTTTACCTTCCCTTCTGCTGATTCGACCAGCTTTGTTGGTTCTCTGGGACCTCGCGAAACTAATACGTCAGCATCTTTGTCCGGCATATATAAACTAAATTTTCCAGTTTATGCTAGAGAAGTCGGGGAATGGTTTATTGCCGTATATGTTAGTGATACATCCAGCACGAATAGTAAAATGCTACTGGTGCCTTTCCATTTTATTAATCGTTCTGATTCATTCCGTTTGTAATCGACACTGGCACCAGCCGATACGCGTGTTTTCATTCCCAACTATTTGCAGTACATCGGACTTGTTGATACCTCAAAACCTGATTCTGGTTTTAACTTGCGTTTTTTATAAGCTTAAAACTTCGGTAACATTTCTGCTCATCTGGGAGCCTTAGGTAAACGTTGGTGTCTTCTATGCGGTTTTAGGACACTTCTTGCCGATTTTGGTCTTTTTCGAAAGCTATTTTCGAAGTTTTGGAGCTAGACGGTTGCCTAAGCACAACCAATATAGCACCCAGCCCGGTCCGTTCGTCTTCTGTAAACTTTGGAGAATTTGATGTTCCGAACCATTTAAATAATAAAACCGGGCTTCCCATCTTCAACTCACTATCTTTGTCTGAATATTCTAGAAAAACATATTCGTACATTTTTCCCTATATAGTAACTCCTCAGTTTCATGCTTAAATAACGAATAAATTCCACCTCTTGATATCGTAGAGTAAATTTCTTGATGGTTCGACTTAATCCAGCCGTTATACTTTCGGGGGCCTCAAGTTCCGCGTCTACGAAATTACCTTTGATCAATTTTAATTTATCTGGTTTTTGGGAAATCTTGTATGTGTTTTTTGGTCTCTTTGTTCCAAATATTTAAGTCTTTTTCCAAGGATGTGTGACCTTCAAAGATGCGGGCTTTTGAAGAAGCTTTCCTGGCGCCTGCAAGAACTACGCTCCGTATCAAATAGTTACCTGTGTAGTACGAATTTTCCCGTTGATTTTCGTTGTCCGTGTAAATCCAAACATACTTGATAGACGAAAGGCACATAAATATTCCTTGTCTTACTCATTTTATATCAGATTTCGTCGGTACATCTCCTATTTGAAGATAAGGTATCTTGTGGTTTCGAAACGTTTCTAATATGTGATTTTTAAGAACGGTAAATGTCCATTCAAACAGTGTCGCATCAGCACGTTTATCATTGCAACCTATAATGTATACAATCTAGTCTATATACATTGCACATTTCTTATGAATCCTATATGACGCCTTCCTAACAGCATATCGAAATTATGATATTCGTTTTTAGTATGAAAGCCCTTTATTTAGATGTAACGGCGGGTGGGATAAGAAGGTATTCGGGAAGGAAGAAGTTTTAAAAAGCAGAAAGACACTTTCTCGAATGACGGCGAAATTTCGAGTTCCAAGTGCATGCATAAGTGAAGAGGAAGATAAGTCGAGCACCGACATTTTCCCTTTAAATAGCTAATTCGAAGAAGCAACTTGCTACCAAATGAGTACAAGGAAGATTATTTTTCTGCATTTTCCCTACATAATATATATATATATATTTCCGTCGGGATTCGAGTTAGCATAGGTTGTTTAGATAAATTTTCCCAGTTGATTTAATGCTCCCTACTAGATAAATCCGCAAATGCACAGATGCGGTGGTCGGTAGTAACCGACGGGGGAAATGGCGTGGATATAAAGAAGGATTTATTGCCGTCTCGTGGGCATCCTTTGCGGTGATAAAATAACTTCGTAGTGCATTCTGCATGAGAAGTGTGGTCTCTGAATCAGTAAAGTAGCCAACGCATGAGGTCTCGTTTCATCAGCTCTATCACCTGTGCATACAGCATTTTGTTATGTTTATGTTGGATTATCTAATTTGTTAGCGGCTTTGATAAGCCTGAGGATAGTAAACTGTAGTGCCTGACCGACCCCATGAAATCTTGGCCAATATTCTGGAATGCGTTTCCGATAAGGAAGGATTGCTTAAGTGGGGTTGTTGTATCAATTATCAAGCATCATAACCCTATGACAATTCAGACTCGACAGGATGTGGGCTTTTGAATGCACTTCTTTATGATCTACTGCAGAAACTACACTCGGTGAAAAATGGCTACTTATGTAGCGTGTATTTTTCCTATTGATTTTCGATGGTCTTATAAATTCAAATATATTTTACAGAAATCATGCACAAAAATATGCTTTCTTTTGTTCATTTGGAGGGAAATCATATTATCTTTGTAGTTTATGCGGAAGAAAGTGTATATTTAGGATTTTAAAAAGTTTTAAATATGAGATTTTTAAGACCGTGCGATGTCCATGCGTCCAAGACCGCACATATTCGTTTACTAATGCTTCTCATGAAATGTACAACACAGCCCCGATCCAATGCAAAATTTCATGAAAATCTATATGATATCTCCTCAAAGGCATAGAAGAATATATGATTTTCCTTACGCGGAAAGCATGCACCTAGTAGACTGAAATTGCTAAACGCTGATGCAATGGCAGATCAGGCTAAAAATTATTCGTTAATTGGAAAACTTTTTAAAAATCTAACTGTACAAATTCTTCGGCATAAACTATGAAGACAATGTAATTTCCCTCCAAATGAACAGAAGACAGTATATTTTTGTGCATGGTTTTTGTAAAATATATTTCAATTTATAAGACCATCGAAAATCAGTAGGAAGAATGCACGCTACATAAGCAGTCATTTTTTACCGAGTGCGGTTTCTGCAGGTCAAAAAGAAGTGCATTCAAAAGCCGACATCCTGTCGAGTCCGAAATTTTATGGGGTTATGCTGCTTGCTACTTAGTATTACAACCCCACTTCTTATCGGAAACGCGTTCCAGAATTTTTGCCAACATTCCATCAGATCGGTCACGCATTGTGCTTGGAGGATATGTTGGACGTCTGCAGAAAAGTCTTTGTTCATAGCTTTTTTAGAAACTGAAAAATGAAAATGACGCCATCTCCAGCTTAATGCGTATGAGAAATCGGTTTTCCTTTCATCATGACTGAATTAATGTGGGCATCAAACACAAATAGAAGCAGTACACATCACTCTATTACATTTATCCACGCATACTCATAAGTTATCATGTCGTTATAAATGTACGAGCCTGGTATTCCTTTCATTGTTAATCTTTTCCGAAACCACACTTGCCTGGCTTTTTGCGATGTAAAGTATTTCGTCAGTCACACAGAGTCTGTGCTCGTTCGCGGGTGGAATTTGCCTTTTCCGGCGCAGTTCAGACTCGCTGTATTCCGTTTGGTGAGAAAAAACGTGCTAGAGGTAACCCTTCACTGACGTCATTGACACTGATTTTCCCAACTTCCCCAACGTCTCCCTCTGCCACTTTCCCCGCTATTGCCGTCAGCCGGTACTACCCAATCAGTGAAGTATTCGTGCAGCCTCTTTGATGTGCGATTAACCTGTCTGAATGGCCGAGGCTTTCCGGCAGGCCTTTGTGTGTAAACCAAAAGGGACAATTTCTGAAGAAGCCAAGGGCGCAGACTCCGGAAATGTAGTCATTATGCTGCGCCGAGTTCAACGCCCTAGAAGTGGGCACTTGTTTTTATGCTTTGGGATAAAAATTAGACCCCGTCTGAGCAAACGCGCTTTAAAAAGATCTGGCTGCGCTGACGTTGCTGAATTTCTCGTATGCCTGATAAGCTGCCTGTTGCAATTTTAGAGGGGGCTAAACGTGTCAGATAGCAGGCGAAGTCGGAATTACGTGCATTTCGTCCGTCCTTGGGGACAGACCGGTCATCGTTACTCCCATACGACTGAATATTTCCGACCGCCACCGACAGGGTCTTCCCGACTTGGAGTTGGGGTATGAATGACTGTCAATAGCAAACAGAGTCGTTCCAGTCATCCAATCCTGCCTCGACAAAACTTCTCATTCGCGTATTCTCCTAATCTCTCGGTCTTATAAAAGGTAGTTAAGTTTTTTGTTATGTTATTCAGAGTGGGCTTAAAACGTATGGAGGGCTTAGAAACCCATCTCCTCTGCTCCAATTCGTTACAGTAGGAGTGATCGTCACTCTGAACGCAGTCTCATCTAAGGAAAACAAACACAGACTCCAGCCTCTGTTTTATTAGTCATGCTTATTACGCCTTCCCCGGTTTTCCTCCAATCTCTACGTAGAGGTTTCAGCATCGCGTCCAAGGGGCATATGGTAGACCACTGGGGGTTTTTGTATTCAACCAATCACAAAATTGGCCGATGAACTCGGGACGATTAACGACCAGACAATTACTGCGCCAAGTACAAGTAATAGCAATTAATGCGAGCAATACTAGTTTCAGTAGCTTTCATAGATACGTGCAAGTCCGAAAGTGAATTCGAGATGTCAGACGAATAAGGTTTTTGTCCCAGCGATAAAGTCTCCTCAGTTAGCCATTCACTCGAAAGTAATTAGGAGTTAGAATTCTCGGTAGGGAGGGTAAGATCTTCAGGGCGGAGGAGGGCTCAGCGGTGCAGGTAATCAACAATAGCAAGGAGATAATTCTGTAGGAATGTTGGTAAAGAAGAGGAGAACTACGACGGCTATTTCCGATCTTCCAAGCATCGTCCAACAGTAACATCCTAACCCCGGACCTCGTTTTCGAAGGTATCCTCTGAGTACCATGCGAGGCCTCTATGTCCAGGCTTTAAGGTCAATTTTCAGAAGGTTGTTCCGCCCCAGAACCAGACAGATAGAGTTTCATCTCCCGAATAAATAGCCAGTTGATAAGACACGGGATTCAATTGCAGAAAGGGTACCTATTCACGTGTCCTTATCCTAAACACAAACGCAAGCCCAACCTTCGCGCTAATTCTAACCAGTATCACCCTGAAATAAGGCAATCTGCATTGCGGGGGTTCCCATTCCCGTGTCCTACGTGTCTACATGTGTCTTAGCTGTGTTAACCAGCTTTCCTTGTGTTTCTTTGTTGGCAGATTCCGCATTATTCTAACTAGACGTGAAGGTACCAGGACGAACTGGAATTTCACATTGTTTTTCTTTAAAATGAGCGAACACGCCAGCCTTATCTCCGCCTTTGACTCCGCAACCTGAACTTTGTGCGTTGGTCGTCATGAAAAGGTTGCTAATTTTGTCCAGTCCACAATATATGACCATTCACGAACGAGCATCATTTTTCATCCCATTAATGTCCGGCAATTGAAAGTGGTGTTTGTGCATGCAGGACTCTGCGTCTTAAAGCCATTAATCACGATATTGTTCGTGACATGTATTTCGTTGTGACCTGTTTCAATTATTTGTGAGACAACAATTGTCCCTGCACCCTTCAACGACTACAACATTGACCAAAACACCCCCCTCCCACCAAGTGCGTGGGAAGGCAGGATTATTGCCTGATTGGTTATTACCTGCGTAGAGGAAGTTATCACTGCTTTACTACTTATCCCATCAGATTTATGCAGCCGGCCTTCTAGAAAAAAAAACAGCGTCAAGTAAAAGACAAGAAGGCTCAAGGTGTTACACTAACGTGGCAGAGTCCATGATTTACTGGAGGATCATGCAACGGCAGAAGCATCGGCGGCGAAGCACACATCCGAGTTTCTGACTAGCATCATTTCGAAAGAATGGTAAAAGTGTACTCCTGATTGTAGCAGTTTTGGTTGCTCCACAGAATTTTAGTGTCATCACCTCAAAATCTCACCAGAATTTCGAGACTGACCCCAAAAGGTCGTGTCCCATACACGTGCTTCAAAACCATGGCATCTTTGAGACTCCGCATTCAGTAATCTGGGCACGCTTTTAGTATGCAGTCAGCCTTCTTCTAGGAGGGCTGCCTCTGTACTATTATGGTGATGTTGGCGCGGCCTGACTAAATGCCAAGTCGTATGGCATTACGGACAAAGACAAGGTAGACAGTCTCCCTTGTCTTTGTCAGTAATACCACACCGCCTATATCATGCGCCACTGTGCGACTGCTGGTTGGGCTCGAGTGAGAGCCCGTAAGGCACAACGGAACGAGTGAGTTCCATAAGAACGATCGGTTAGCGCCCCCTACCATTAAATGCCAAATGTTGTAAGTTTTATAACTACTTACCGCATAGATCCTGATGTATTCAAGAAACTTGAAACAGAAAAGGCATCCGCCCGACCCTCAAAATTCGTGATCAGTTGCCTGAAGGAATTGCGAATTGAAGGCAGGCCTCTGGCTGCCTATCTTGTTATTTCATCCTACACCTTTGGTCCTGTTTAATTGCATTGCATGACGAATGGCTCTGTGGAGAGGGAGTAAGGACAAAGTAACTAAACAAGTTCTACAATGATGCTGGGTGATTTTTTTCTTTCATAATGTCCCCGTTATTCGCAGTGATTCAATTCCCGCAGATTTCTGGTATGTGACAGTTCAGTATTACTTCTGGAGACTAAAATATCCAACTCTCGTCCTTTTTGTGATGACTCCCCTAAATAGTTCCTGATGTGTATGCTGTTAGTGCCATATGGAATTTGCCAGAGTCATCCTGCGCTTGATAACTGCCCACTTTCAGCAAACTGTCGTCAATATCATAATCACTTGCGTTGGTTTACTCTAACATATGAAATGTTGGCACATCGGCAACGCAATTCTTTCAATCAAGCGGTCGCTCTTAAGTGATCAGATAGATTAGATCAGGTAAGACCTGCCTAACGATCATTTTTATTTCGGTAAACAGGTCTAAATACAAACTAGCAGGTTTTTGATTAACGCTAGTCGTCGGCTGAGCACAAGTCTTATTATTTTCCAGTTAGGAGACCTGTCCATTAGACTGTTGGTACGCTCTTCTTCAGCAAAAGTTGTCAGTTGATGGTTTGATTTCAACTGATCCCAGGGCACTAAGTAGTATGTCCTGTTTGAAAGTAAGGCTTAAGATCTCAGTCATACTGTGATTTTCGATGCCTGTTATATGCACAGAATTTTCTATGGAGATCCGCCCATAGTACTCGATGAGGATCTCTACCAGCTGGGAGGCCTCCATAACGTGTGCTCGGGCTAGATTACGGCAAAGAGGGCCATCAGCATCGGCCTCGCTTCTTTGATTCCTCACGTTCTAGTGTCTAGATTAGATCAAAACCATAGAATTTGGGATTGAACGCAGTACACGTAACATATTTTTTAATTCAGCTCCACAATGGACTGGATTGTGTTCAGCCAGTTCGTCCTGCCTGCTTTACGTCGTGCGCCTCAATGCCACTCACTCTAGGAAGCAACCCTGTGCTGGCAGTAGCTAGACTGCTAACTTGCTGGCCGCGACCATCATCGAACTGGATTCCAATAACGACTGCTCTTGGTGGCCATCCTTTCATATTGTGCCTGGAAGTCGTGCGTATGCAGTTGCTTTCCTCATATTACTTTCCTCCGGGCCGTAATGTACCATAATCTGGTGTTTCATGTACCCCAGTTGCAGCTTCCTCTCTCCGCCTGATGCCACAAGCCTGGATTTCATTCTCCTGCAATGCTTTTCCTCCCTAGAAGGGGTCGAAAGTGTTCCGGGTATCGACAGTCAGGGCCGCGTCCACCGGTTGCCTTCTCATCCCACCAACAATGCAAGCTCTGGTGATTGGAAGGAGCTTTCACCAGCCAGCTGTCCAATCACCATCGAGCTGAGCACCGCTGGGCCTCCTCTTTCCTTGTTAACTAGCAGCAGTAACACCTCCGCCAACCAGAACACTTCAGAACTGCCACATAAGAAGCTCCAACCCCTCCAGAATAAGGATGATGGTGTCGATCGTGGTTATGAGCCTCTGTTAAAGAGAAAACTAGCGGAGCCTTCTGGAGCGGGACATGGTACTGGCGATTTTCCCGGTGACACGCCTACCTTACTAGACGTTCATGGCGAGGGCTCCTCTGTGAGTCTTAAATTGAGGGATCTACGCGGGCATGACAATGTCGTCAACTATCTGTACCTGAAGAATCATCAGCCAAATGTTCGACTCCTCATCAACTTCCGTTTGAGACCGCATTTTGGTGAGCATTGTAACCACTGTTTTCGCCATCGTAAATCCCTTAGGATTTTTTCACGACCTCCGTACAGATTAAGCTTTCTAAGGAAAGAGATTAAGTCACCTTGCATGAGAAAAGACGACTTAGTACTGAGCGCTATGTGGCTTGTCCTTGAGTGATGGTTTTCTTGAAAATCGATCGTTCGCATGACCGAAATTGACACTGATGATTTTGCCGCTCTCTCCGGAAGTTACTGGTTTCACAGGATTGCGCACTAAAGTGCCTCCGTTTTAAAAGCATACTTCTGACAAAATAATCAGGGTGTTTAGAAATAAGTGATAGGTAAACCGACTCAGTCAACCTGAAGCCTAGTAATAAATCTCATGCACGTTAAGCATGACGTTAGGCGTCTGTAGTTCTTGTATTCTGGCGACATGTGCATTTCGAACTGTTGAACAGGTCGGGTGTATGTCCCTGCTGCGCTACGGCCAGATTACCTGAATCCGCAGTCAAGGATAAGCTGACTTGCTATAGCATAGTGGGTGCTCTTCGGAAAACCGCAGAAAATTGATTTCCCGACGAAGGCTATGCGGACTGACATTCTCGACAACAGATCTTGCCCGTCTTGCCTATGAAGCAAACGAAAAAGCTACCGACGGCCATTCTCTTGTTAGCGCCGATCGCGGCCCTTGTTGGTCTTCTGCTCATACGAAAGGTTTACTCTCCCATCCCTTAAGTACAGTATTTAATGGTCTAATTTTTTACGAAAACATAAGTATAAAAGTATTTTTTTTCTACATCACACTGTGGAATACGATTGAAGATAGGCGAAAAATACACGCTTTCGTCTAGACTGAGATTTACTTAGGTTTCAGTTATGACTTCCAGTTTAAAGGTATCACTCTATCGCGCACATCAAGTTAGAGTTGCTGCCTATTCCAGTAGGTTTTGCAATCTTAATTAGGCAGTTTGTTGCAGACGGGAGGCAGATAGGTCTTCGATCGTTTTCGGCAAGTCAACGTCAGGCCCATAGAATTGCATGTATAATTGAAGCACCTGGGACAGTCTAAGCTTCATTTGAGTCCTATCGCTAGGGCTCTGGAGCAAGGGGTGGGAAAGATGTAATTATAATGATTGCTGCTCACCGTAGACAAAGAATGGGAGTAAACGTCGGTCCGGGGACCATGGGGAGAGGATAGGGAGGTGTTACACATGTCTGATCAACGTAGGTTTTGAACTTTTACCAGGGTCTTCTGTACACGGAAAATTGGGCTCTATCCGTGCGGCCCTTATTTTTACCTGATGAGAGTGCTGGTTGAGTGACTGCAGCAGTCTGCCTTTCAATAAACCACTCCAAAAGGCTTTTTTAGAGTCAAATTGATTTCCATCTTCAACCAGGTGTCCTAGGATTGGCCCCAAAGTGACTATCTTCTCAGCGTTCGCTGCAGACGCCAGTAGGCGTCCTTAATCCTCTTAAAAGGTCATTAATCCGTCTGATCGACGTATCTTGCTCCACACAAGTAGCTAAATGCATAGACGCACATGCGAGGGTCTAGAATGACCGCCCACGCCTATGAATTTGAAGTAAAAACTAGAGAAGCTCATTTTTATTCTGCGAGAAGCTGTAGACAGTTTGCCTCTCCTGAATGCTACTCTAACCTGCCAATTTTTCTTTTCAACTGTGGAAATTTACTTGTTTGATATTCGTTCCCTCGTGTCCTATGGTACAATCCTTAGAGATGTCCATTTGCATGAGGACACTTCTGCTATATGCTCCTTCTAAGGAGTCCCCAGAGCACTATCCTCTCATCTAACGGCAACTTATTGAACTAAACTTCTTCCTTGACTTCGCGGACACGCTTCTGCCGATTGAACTGTGCTGCTTGCTATTCAATTTCACCATCACTCCACCTAAGTCGGCTGTTTTAACTTTTCTGACAAGGATATCATTGAAATACCGGAAATTATGACCTGTTGTGTCTAGAAATTCCTGAATTTGGACTCTCTAACCCGCTCGTGACGGAACTAGCCGGAATTGATTGTAAGAGTGATCTCCACCCCGTCGGTTCGTCTGTAGATGTATCTCTGTGCTACTCGTAGGTGTGGATTCAGCCCCCTTGAACTGGTATGCCCGCGCCCATCTCCAGCCCTCGTGACTTTCTACCATTGAGAAACTCGGCGGTCCTGGTGGTGTTCAAACCCACGACGGCAAGTGCTGGGCTTGTGTGCAGCCAACGCTCTGACCACCTGAGCTATGAGGTCCCAACGGAGAGCCTTGAATTTGGTCACATTTGGTTCAAGTTGCCCGCCTAATTTGCTGTCATGGGTCAAACCCCACCGAAACCGCCGAGGTTTTCATAATTGAGTCACATAAATTATTCAAATCTACCGAAAACTTCTGCAGTGTTTGGCCTACCTCATAAAATGTTAACCGAAACTGGAAAATGCGTCTTGGATTAGAAAGGATTACTTAGCTAGGGTGGTAATATTGATTATCGTAAAACATTAACCTGGAATATTTCAGTCACACCAGGTTGCCGACTGTTGAATGCGCTTCGTTCTGGTCGCTTGTTAAAATCCCACTCGGTAGAAAATTGCTACTTATGTAGTGCGATTTTTCCCACTGAATGTTGGTGCAATTATAGATTCTTAAAGATTTTATACGGAAGATGCACAAAACTATTCGTTCTTGTGCTCATTTGGTAACAGATTGCGTCTTTCTTAAATTTTATACGCGAGGGAAGGGTATCTTTTGGCCTTAAAGACAAAGAATTTGACTGTGTCCCACAGACTATGACTAGGCTTCAGCCTGTCACCATTTAGTTCTGGAGTACTTTTGTCTCTATGTCAACAGGAATGCCCATATTAGCAAGTTGAACACACGTTCGGCCGACATTCTGAAGAGCGCTTTCGGCTAGCAGGGTTTACTTAGGTAGGGTTGCAATAAACGCGATCGTACTTTACAAAAACATGCGTAAGAATACTAATCTCTGCAGTCATTCGGTAGCAAATCACGTTTTCTTCAGATTTCATATTTGACGAAAGAGTTCATTTGGTTTTAGAGAAGTTTCTAATCATGGGATTTTTAAGACCGCGTAACATTCATTCATACAGCACCGTACCTGTCCGTTTATTAGTGCTCCTCGTTTAGTGGACAGCATATCCCGAATTTATTGCAAAATTTAATGTGCTGTACACGGTATCTTTTTAAGGGCATAAAAAGATATATAATTGTCCATACGCAAAAAAGCATGCAACATGCAGATTGAAAACGCCAAACGCGAATGCAACGGGAGATCGGACTGAGATGCATTGGGGAATTCGAAAAGTTCTTTAAAATCTTGATATACCCTTTCTTCGAGTGCAAAATGTGAAGAAGACATGATTTACTATCCAATGAGTGCAAAATGAAATGCTTTTCTGCATGTTTTGTTTAAACTATATTTTAATTTATAAGCGCATTGAAAATCGATGTGTAGAATTAATATTACTCAAGTAGTAATTTTCTATCTTGCGTGGAAGTCGTAAAGAAGTGCAGTCAAACGCCAACATCTTGGCGAGTCCGAAATATTATGGGACTATGTCGCGTGATAATTAGTCTTACAACCCCACCCAAGTAATCTCCCCTAATCGAAAACGCATTTCAGAAATTCGGCTAACATTTCGTGAGATCAGTTACTGACTTTCCTCATTGTCCCCTTCCGGTTTGGAACGAGAACAACGATGCTGATATTAAGAAGATTACGATGACCTTATGCTCCATCACGACTGACGTTGTTGTGTCGTCTCTTAAATTAGCCCCATGGATCTCAGTTTTGGAAGATGGGTAGAAGAAACGACTACTCGAAACGTCAGACCCCCAATACACCTCTCCTGGTGAACGCCTCTTTTTCTTTTGATAATAAGTTTATCTATCTTCGACACAGAAACGAAGGCGGAGTGCAGGTCCTTGTAGATTTTGTCTTTGGTATCATTTTTGCTTGTCATTTCCAGGCTTAGTTGCCTATAATAGTGAGAAATATATTATTGAGTTTCGGAGGCATTACTGTGATAAAACGGTCGTTGACTCCCTGTGAGAAGGGTGACAGTTGTCTCACGATGTCTTTTTGAACTTCTGCCTCTCACTCTTCTTCCTCCGGAAGTCAGCTACAGATTAAAGTTTATCTCACCCATATTTCGCCCAGTTGTCGTTGTTTATAAAAGCCGATCTCACTGACAGCCACGGTGTCCACCTTGCATCAAACCAACTCATTGGCTAATAGAACTATTGCCTTGTACGTGGTTGGCTGTTGAGATGTCTAGGAGGGATCTCTATGGACCTCCGCATCCTTGAGGAAGTTCGAAAGCGGGCAACCAAACTCGTTAGTGGACAGGGTTCACTACCCTACGAAACACGGCCATCCAGTCTCGGCCATTTCCCTCTGTTACAGACAACTAAGAGTTGACCTGATACAAACATTCCGTATAATGCGCGGTCAGTACTGCTGTCTCATACCTGCTGGCTTCTTTGAGTTAGCGACCACAACGAACCTCCGAGGTCATCCACTTAAACTACGTTTGACTGGCGCCAGGCTGGAAATGTGAGAGTTCTTTTCCAACAGAGTGGTCGAGGCTTGGAATGCTCTGTCTGAAGATATCGTCATGTCCACATCTGTCGTGGCTTTTAAGAGCAAGTTGGACCAGTATACCACCAAACATCATAATGTCACCTGATCCATATCGTCTTAGCATTTCGTTCTAACAGTTTATTACTGTTCTAGCATTACTGCCTGTTAGAAACTATTTCTTATAATCTTCCCAACTCCATTGATTGTGATTGTTGGCATTTAATTCGTCTCCCTCAGAAACTGAGATCGCACCATTATTCTACAGCGCAATTATGCAAAGACTGACTACTCTACACTACGTGTGAAAGGCTTGTATAACGACTTGTCACTCCTAAATTGTGTATCTCCTAATCCGACACCTCGTATGCCCCTATGGACACGCACACACACACAGACACAAGCGCGCAAATCAGGCCCACCACTGTCCCCACGAGGTGGGCCCATCAGTGACCCGTACGTGAACCTGTTAATAGTGACTCAGACTTGCGATGCATTCACCTTCCTATCTCTTCCTATGTGATCCACCATCTCGGTATCACGAGCCCTTATCATGACCAAGCGTAGGCTGTGGTCAGATGGTGTATGGCGGGGTGTGGTGACACGCAGGCCCACGCGGTGGGAGCTGGGATCCATGCCGCTGTCCCCCTTGTGTTAAAATCCTGGTCAAGTGTCTGTCGTAGATCAGGGGCGCCTGGTGGCACGTCTAGGTGCGGGTTCGGCCGTGCCAGCCGCCTTCGTCCTCTGCTACTTCCGGCCTTCTTGACTCTGTCATGACATCGGACACAGGTTAGGGAGAAAGAGGGAGTGCGGTAGATATGGCCCAAGTCTACTATCGCCATAAACTAATCCGCGTGCTAGTCACCGCGGTTGCTTCTGGCCTGCTGTGGACATTGTCGAAATGGACGGCCGAACTGTCATTACAAACCCAGGCCACCGTAGTCACAATTTCTGTCCAGGCTACACGGCCAATGTGATCGTGCCACACACGAACTGATCACTAATTCGATATGTACCACACTTTCATTACAGGGATCGTGGGCCTTGCATATGGGCATATGGGGCCACTCTAAGAAGGAGTCACTGCGGGGTAATCCAAGACCGAGGTATCCACCTCGGTTGGCAACCTATCAGAAACGACTGGTAAACATATCAGGACAGATTCAGGTGCGCTGAACTCATCATGATTATTAATGCGCCGATTTGCCTTGATGGCGAATTCTGCCGCAATATCTGCCTCACTCTCTTTCCGCACTCCAATGCACCAGCTGGTTCTCCGAGTCAGGCCGAACTGAGAAAACGATTGGGCGCTGTTACTGACAAAGCTAGGCAGCCACGTACCAATCGTTCTATGGATAGGGGCCGGCAGGGACTATGTGCAGCCCGATGAATGCATGTGTTGGGCTAATTCGGTCTCCGTGTAGGTCCAATTAACGTACAATTCAGCATAAACTTCTAATTATGGATATTTGATGGCGTGAAACTAAGATACACATCTAAGTGGAGACGAGTGGTAAACCTTCAGTATCGCAAAGAAATAAGGTGGAGCAATTGTCGATTGTGCTGTTTCTTCAGACAGAGGCACCCGTTGCGACACCGCTACAGCACCAGAGACTTTAAAATGCTAGAAGAACAATATTTTTTCATATTAAGTTAATGTGTGCGTCACTGGCGCTAAACTACGTCTGTTCGTCTTGAGGTGGATAGACTGGTAGGGAGTAAACGTCAGAACTGGCGCTCTCTCGAGCTACTAGCACTGTCTCAACACCCGTGCTCACGACACTCATTTGCGGCTTCATGATGCCATGCTCTGAACAGCAGTTCTGGCAGCCACATCCACTGGCAGACGAGGCTATCTGAGAGGTCATTTCATTCTTCTAGCATGGATAAAATTTGAAATGTGTTTTGCAGAGAGACGGGTCATGTTGTAACGTGCCACGGGGGCGGGACAAGTCATACTGGGTCAGGCACTGGGCCCTGTCTCATTGCTAGTCGCCTGTGCCTAGTCCTATCACCGGCACATGGCGAACGTGAGGAGATGGTGAGGTTGCTATTGTGCCAGTTTGGCTCAGTATAATTTAACACACACACACACACGAAAGTTCACCGTCGGCTCCGACGATGTCCACCGTGTGCCCCACATCAGACGCGGTGGGAGCAGGAACGGAGACTTGCGCAGGGGTTTATTGTGCCAGTAGACTTGCGCTGCACCTATCCGCACTTTCTCCTCCTCTCCCGTCTGAGCCCGGTGTTAAGACAGAATCGAGAAGACCGGAGACGGGGAGGGCGCAGGTGGATGACACTGTCGAACCCACACCTTAGCGTTCCACTCCATATCCCCTTGTCCACAAAACAAATAACCAGGTTTTTGACCAACAACGACAGAGCATATGGAGGCTGCAACGGCCGAAGACTCACCTAGGCGTGCCGCCCACACCCGGCTCAGATCCCACACAGTTGGAGTGCCATAAAGGCCACAATAAGAAGGAGTCATTGCAGCTTGACTATCAGACCACCAGTCAAGGTGGTCCTAGTTGTCCAGTCAGTTGGCAACCTTTCAAGCCAAGGCTTTTAGCGCACCGTGATAGCTTCAAGCGCGTCAGATTGTTTTTAGTGAGGAGAAAGTGCGCTGAATCGTCGACCTCACTCTCCCTTCCCATCCCCACACCCCAGCCGCTGTCCGAGCCGGTAAGCAGACTGGAGTGGGGAATGGGCGCGGTGGCTGGCACGATCGACTGACCATGCCTGCTTGCGCCACAGCACGACCTGGCCCCCCAGACACATACACACACACATACACAACGCGATGAACTGCATGGGCCGAGTGGGGCGTCAATCAGAAACCTTCCTATCCGCATCACCTACAGGACGGACGGTCACCTCCTGAATCAACAGCGGATGCACTTCCAATCGCGCGTATCCACAACCACCGTTCACAAACTTCTATTCGCCGAAGACTGCGCCCTCAACACCACCTCGGAAGAGGAGATGCAACGGCGCATTGGCCTCTTCTCTGCCATCTGCGAGAACTTAGGTCTGGTTTTCAACACGCAGAAGACGGTGATCATGCATCAACCGCCACCCAGCACAGCCACTCCTCCCAACGCGCCGCAAATCAGTGTAAACGAAACCTAAATGCAAGTGGTGGAGAACTTTCCGTACCTGGGCAGTACCCTCTCCTGCAACACCAAGATCGATGACGAAGTCGCCAACAGGATCTCGAAAGCCGGTCAAGCCTTCGGCCCCCTGCAGAGCACAGTTTGGAATCGTCACGGACTCCAAATGAGCACGAAGCCGAAGATGTACAAGGCCGTCATCCTGCCGACGCTGCTGTACGGATCGTCGATACAAGGATACTCTGAAGTCCTACCTGAAGCGTCTGCAAATCAACCCGGCCAACTGGGAAGCGCTCGCCCTCTACCGACCAACCTGGAGGAGGACAGTGAAGACAGGCGCTGCGATCTATGAGGCCAACCACATCGTCGCCAAAGTTAAACGCGAAGCCCGCAAATCACAGCTACGCCCAGTACGCAACGCCGACGCACAACCGCTCCCAACGCGTCCTCGATGTCAACGGACATTCCGGGCACGAATTGAACTTATTGGACACCTCCGGATCAACTGCACCACTCGGACCGCATTAACCGTCGTCACTTCGCTCGCCTCATCCTCGTCCCCTCCGCCGTTAACTAACTTTGACCACTCTTCTGAACCACCACTTCCAGCAGCAGCAGCAGCAGCAGCAGCAGCATCATCATCATCATCATCATCATCATCATCATCATCATCATCATCATCATCATCATCATCATCATCATCATCCTCCCCTCCTCCTCCTTCTGCACTGCCTCAACGACGGCCGCCCTGGCGGCTGCTACGTATGACAACACCACCCCATCCCTGACGCAACCACAGACACCATCCAACCAACCTCCGAATCCGGAGGTGAGGACCAGGACTACGTCTTCCCTCACTCCGAACGCACCTTCACCTTATACATCGGCCTGGTCGATCACTTGCGAATCCATCGCACAGAGACTGGCAAACCAGTGCCTGGAGCACCAACCTATACCCACCAAGCTCGCCTCCACTGCCCGCAACGGCTTTGCACTGTCAGACATCGCATGGGACTATTTGGCCACATGCGCATCCACGACGACTTGCGGTGTACAACCGTCGGCTTCACCGCCCCATAACACACTCCTGCCCTGCCTCTACCACCACCGCCACCCCTCCACACATCCACATTTACCCACCGCAAGCCCCCAAATGCCACCTCTCACGCAAGTGTAAAGTGTACATCTCGACTTGTTCCCCATGCGGCCTCGGCTGCACGGGTGACTTGAGTCTGAGACTTTCCCGATACACACACACGCATACACACGACAGCACGACCGTCGTGCCCGACGATTTCCACCGTGTGTTCTACAGCAGAGTAAGCACAGGAACGTTGACCTGCCCCCTCCTCTGGACCCCGTGTAAACACAGAGTCAAGAAGGCCGGAGGCGAGGGAGGACGGATGTGACTGGCACGGCCGGACCCGCACCTAGGCGTGTCAATACACTCCGTAATAGCCAGTAATCCAGCCACACACATATTTGCCCGACGTTCTCGATTCTCACATGAATTCTTCATAAGAGACAGACACAGATAAGGGTGCAGCCAGGTTCCAGTCAAGTGGGAACAACAGACGAGACGAAACGGCCTTGTCTCTGGCTCTCTCTCTCTCTCTCTCTCTGGTGATTCGTTCCAGTGAGAATCTGAAATGATAGACGAGCGACAGTGTATTTTATTCTTTTTTTTCTCGGCTGCTCCCTTAAACTCACATCGTTTGTGTCAGCTTTTTCGAAAGTCAGAGCCGCGTGGTCAATTCATATAGATGTTAAATTTACCTCTGCATTTATTTATACACTGCACTTTAGCTCTCCTTCTTTTTGAGGGTTTCAGAGTTTTTTGGTGTTCACGTTAAGTTTTGAAAAGAAGAAATTCCACTTGTGATGTGAGGCGCTTGAACAGAACTTGTACAAAGATTTTTCCAGAAATACTTAAAAAGAAATTTTCTCGATAATTGTAACTTATTTGTCGGTCACCTGGTCACCTCAGACTTATTTATCGTCGTCGATTAACCACACACCAACACTTTATCTGTCGCAGGCTACGGCCTGTCTCACGGGGTGAGCGCGACGCCGGTGACTTGCGCGTATATTAGTTTATAGTGGGGCAGACTTGCAAAGCATCTCGTCCGACTCTTTCTCCCTATCTTCCTTCTAATGGCGAGACAACGTCAAGACGACCAGAGGTGGACTAGTGCCCAGTGACTGACAAACCTGAACAGTCAGCCTAGGCTTTCATACACGGTCTGGTCCCCACCACGTGTAACGGTCTACTTTAAGGACATTTCGGATTTCACATGCGTGGAAGTGGAAAAGTAAGAAAAAATCACTGTAGCCTGACTCACAGTCCTTCGGTCACTCCTAAATACTCCGGCACCTTTCCAAGACACGATTCTTAGTGCATCGTAATAGCTTCAAACGCGTCAACTGTGTTATGGTGAGGAGGGCGCTGATTTGTTGTGAGGATGGATTTTTCAATATAGACCTCATGGTCCCTTCCTTCCCCACCAATCACACTGGAGGTCTATGAACTCGTACTCGGCCCCACCACTAAGCCACAGATTCATATCGTAAGTCGTAACTGCAAATATTCTTAATAGCATGGCAGTGACTCACACCAATTTTCTTAACTGCTACGTGTCGCTGTGTTGTTTATGCTTGTTTCAAATTAATAGTGAGAACATTGTACCGCAAAATTCCTCAGTCTATCCTGATTGTCGCCGAGAATACGGTTGGTTCCGGGACTTTTTTCGGCGTTAAAGTCTACAGCCCACACGGGATGTTGCACAGACTTAGGCAGTCAGTAGTGGAGGTACTGGCAGCAAAAACAGAATGCCAAATGCGTGGTCACACTGTGCGCCAGTCGTTGCTACCTTAACCCTCTCCCGAGTGAAATCTTCCGTTGGTGGAAAAGTATGTCGGGCTGAACAATTGTTTAACAAAGGCAAGCCTGCAACTGTTTGGGTGACTAAGAGGGCAGTAAAAGGTGTTGCTAACGTAGGCGGAAGTGCGTGTTTGTTATTATCCCACGCTGGGTGTGCCAACATATGCATAAGCGTTTAGAGGGGTTTTTCTGTCTGGTAGGTCATCCCTGTGCTGTTATAAGACAGCGTATTTTGTCAGTAGACATGATACAAGAGCAAGCAACAGCATGTTTGACTTTGATACTGGGAAAAGTGTTTATCATTGCAGGAAGCCCCGAAAATTGTGTTTTGGCCCAAGTTGAAAAAAAGTTGTATAATTGAGCCCAGCTATGCCTTTTCTGACTGCAATGGCTTTAAGATGTTCCCACTGCAGCCTTTAAATTAAAACCTTAATGGACTTTCTTCTCCATTTTATTGTGGGAGTCAGTTTTATTTCTGCCGAGGGCCATCGGGGACAACTTTTCCGTCATTAGTTCCCCAAGCAGTCATTAACCGCTGCAGTTTTATATTTTTGCGAGACTCTTGCAAGAATGGGACTGAATTTCCACCACTTTTTTAACTTCCTGATTCATGGTCTCAGTAGTTTGCTTCAGTTGCATACCCACACTGCGTTCCTAAAAGCAACTTGCAAAATAGCCATCCTCCTAAAGTGCTCGAACATCTAGATAGCGCTTTTTGGTCTGCTACATTTGCTTTTTTCCAATCATTGTTTCTAATTGCTGCATTACCGATAAAGTATTTTGTGGATCTCAGTTCTTTCCTCACGAACCGCGCCCTCTTTTTAAGGAAAGGTTTTGGACAGTATTACTTTTCGCAGCTCCCTAGCAGTTATTTGTATATTTATGGCCGGGGGTTTTCGATGGTAGACCACTGACCGTTGCACTTTTATGATGCTGAAAACTGGTCCTCCTAATAAAAAACAATACTAATTTTTCAACAAATTGTAGGACCATTATGTTTTTGTAGAATGTGACATACTTTTCCCTAGTTGATATAATGTTTATTTTCTAGTTAGGTTAGCCGGACCACAGATTTCCGGCCTTTTCCATCGTCGGATATGGCTACTCCCATATCCAAGTAGTTAACTTCAAGGGAGCCCCTTTCGACAGGCTTCACTCGATTTTCTTTCTTGTGGTTGGTGAATATAACCGACTCGTAAACCGGGCAACGATAGGGTATAGGTCCACAAGTGACTTGAGCTAGCATGTGGACCGTGTCATACGTTGAATAGTGGAAGAGGGGGCTTTACGGGTGGGACAACACACAGGACGGGGAGCAAGAAGACACAGAAAATAAATTTTTGCCGAAAGTCTTATTCTACGCTGTCACTTGGCAAAGAAAGTGAGCCCGCTTATTAAAAAATAAAAAAAGCGATTTTTAAAAGATAACAGAATTTATGCAAAGCGCCGCTGATAAGTTTACATTTAGTAAAGAAGGGAAGGAGATTTCAAACAATGCTAACGGGGAATAATAAGGGATGTTTATAGTCACGCTGAGTTTTAGGGTATATTTTTGTAGTTGCCATCTACTTGTGGGTCCTACACCCCGTCGTTACCGAAGACCATATAAGAATATATTCGTAAGTTTGCGAGACACTCATGTGCCAAACACACGATATTTCTGATTAGCCGCTCCCTGGTGATTAACCAGCAAATAATACTTTAACCATGCTAGTAGACTGTGTCATTTTTCTTTCGCCTATCGACACTTCATTGTTTCTTTTTTGCTCTACAGATTGTCCGCCAATCAATGGTCACAACCGTTTTCCGCCTCGTACTGACATACCGGACGACGACAACGATTCTGCGTGCACCGCCCTCCTTCCCTGGGTGAACGCCTCGTGGATCGAACTGACACCCCTCTACGGTCGAAGGGCGCACACGTCAACGACCACTGTCGTTAGGCTCACATTGGACAGTGGGGGTGAAAAGGCTGGAGGCGCATTCCAGCCTGTCGCGGTTCACTCACTCAATGAAGCTGATCCCGGCAGTTTGGTTCTGCCGCGTTGCACCACCTGGTCTCCTCTCTCCAGATCCGATCTCTCGCTGCCTTTCGCCTTTCAATTTTCTCATCAGGTAGCAACTCCACTTGTGGGAATGTTTGCCCTGGTGTAAGTTTTTGATGTGTGTGGGTCGGATGTAGTGGGAAATGGGCCAGGGCAGTCACATGTGAGCCTACGCGTTTATTTTGGGCTTTATCGAAAAATCCCCTAACCCCGAAAGTTACTGTAGGTAACGACTTACATTGAAAGTGAACGGACATGCAAAATGGTTGACCATAATGACTTGCGTTTTTTGCCAATCTTGTGCTGCTGCATTACGCGGCTTTTAGGGGTTCGGCTCACCGGTGGGCCCCCAAGGATTCTTATATGCTTTCCGGCATAGAAACTCCGATTTCCACGCTGTCTTGTTTTATTTCCGAGGTTATTAATGCGCGAACTTGAAGTTAATCCCTCAGAACAAAGTTTCCAGGCTCGGTTCGTACGTTTTTATATGAATATTCGAGCCGAGACCCCCCGGTTACTGCGGAATAGCTGCGTAACATTCAGAAGCTGCCATCAGCTCGAATATTCATACATAAGCATTCGTATCGTGCCTAAAAAGCCTTTTTTCTGAAGGATTTACTCCAAAGTCGCGCATTTATTTCGTAAGAAATTAAACAAGGCAGCGGCAAAGTTCAGTCGGTAGAAATAAACGTTGGAGGTAACGATAGTCTATAGGGTTGACTCTTAAGTGTACTAGACAGCTGCATTAGAGTCGTCAGTAAGGGAAGGTAACAGATTGATCGGCAGGCACACGCCAACGCATCTGGATATTAAAAACGTCGGCAGCATTATTTACCATGAAGAAGGAAATGGGAAAATGCACTGCTTGTGTCAAAAGTAAACTGTTTAGATTAACTGGGGAAATTCATCACAATCTATTGATACATTTGCCGGGTACAGCCTATCAGACCTCTTCTGATTGCATTCGTAAAGGTGAATCGTACATGGCGTCGACTGAGATCCGAATAATAAAAAAATTATTATCTATATTTCCCTTTATCCTGTTCTTTTGTGCCGGTTGCCTTTGGCGATGCACACCTCCCAACTCTGGCCATTTCCTCGTGATCTATGAAGTTTAGGGGAGACGATTAGATATCACTTATTTCAGGTCACATGAAATGCGGAAATTACATAGCTGCGTTTCCCTATCTGACCTTAACCTAATTTCGAGCCATTACTACCCCTTTGTCTGCGCCCTCAGTTCGACCGCGTGGTGTTTAGGAAGATTTATAATTATCAAAAACCGGTGTTTGCGAAGATGTGTTTTTATTGTTCTGCCTTCCGACTCCTCCCCTATGTTCCTCATTTCTTCTATTTTAATGCTTTTCGACTTTCTTTTTCCGGAAATGGCTTGTTCACTGCTGATGAGAACGGACCTCAGTAATCTCAATGCTCAAACCAATTGTATAATCCTGCTTTTCTGACAAAAATCAAATTTTATGTACTTTTTGACCTTTCACGAAGTTCCACAACTTTCCACTCTTTTTACGCAAATTATGGCCGGAGACCAAAATCCTCCTGCATGGAAGCGGTTTACAACTGAAGACCGCGCAAACCGATATTAAAATTCCGTCCTTCGACGGCCAAGAAAGTTTTGGAAGATGCCCAGCTCTTTTCAGGTCGAGACGTGTTTACTGACAAAGACAGGAATGGTCGTTTTCGGCTTATTTGCTGTCATCAGCTAGTGGTACCTCAACCTCAAACTGCGCGCCCGAATTCTGCGCGCGACTCGGTTGGTCATCGAGCACCGCTTTCGCTACTGCATTACAGCCACGCGTCATGTCTGCCGAAATGGGGACCATTCAATCACGTAAGAGTGGCCTGCACTGACCCATCTTGACTGCAGGACAGAAATTGGCATTCCCGAAGGTCTGCAGCCCATGCGGGTGGTCACATGACCGTTGTCGGTGCTCCGGCCCCGCGTGTTGACGCTTCCTAGGTTTAAAGACCCCGTGCTAGGAAGCCAAATTTCACACGTCTATCGGTTCGGGTGTAGTTTCTGCCGAGCAGACTGTATTAGACAAACCGGTAGACGAGCACAAAAATGATGAGGGAATGTGCCTAAATGACGAAAAATATGAAGTTTTGTCGTCGTTGGCGAAACAGTGTCATAACAGACGCACATTCGCGTTCAAAGATACGGAAATAATTGACCTGGAATTGACTACGGGGTCAAGGAGACACCGAAAGCCTGAAATGCAAGCATGACATCTACCACCCCTAGCTTGACTCTCTCTCTTTCCCTCTCTGGAGTACCTGGTCCTAAAGGGCCATATCAGCCGAGGACCCCTAGGCGTTCAAGGCAGGCAGTATACAGACGAGGGTGATAGCAGGGCGACGAGCGTCCGCTAAAGCGCCATTTATGACTTCACTATGGAGGCCGGTAGACCTCCTTCCACCCACCCCAGACCGCTGCTTACGGTCGATATGCAATGCGAGGTCACACTCGCGTGGATGACTTTTGAGCGGCATTCAGCGCGGTCGTGGCTGGTGTTAAATACTGCGTGGTGAAGTCCCACCCTATCCTCATATGATGACAGTTTGTTTACATTTGAGATCTCAGTGCAGCAAACTTTGGATCACCGAGGTCCCTTCTCACAATACTTGACTGTCCATCAGGATTTGGTTGGTTTATGGTACGCATTGTGCCTACCAGTCTGTACACACACTGACTGACGGCCGATCTTTAAATTGCCAACCATGTGTTCCCCTATCTAGGAGACGCCTTGGATTTTGAGTACAGCATGTGTCACGACGATGTTACAAGGCAGGTTCTATTTACTGGTTCCCCCTCCCGATCTGTTGGCTTTGTCGTTACTTTCCATGTATATTTTTAGTAGACCCGAGAACCGGTCCAAATGCCCTTTTCATTGAATGATTATCTCCATTGCTCTATTTTTTTTTCTTCGCCTATGACACGTAAACTTCTGGCCTCATTACGAACTTTGCGTCACCGAGGAAGTTACTTGTGTTCCTTTACGAACATATATGTTGGATGACTCCGGGATATTGATGCTTGAAAATAGGTTGTTGGAGGAGCTCTAAAACTCATGAAATCCAATGTGCTGTCCTTTCCAAAGCGGAGCTTCATGATTTCGCCTTCTGACTTAAATGTCCAGTCAGTTTTCGAGGTTTTGTCTTGCTTATGTTGCTAGATCGGAATACCTCCACCGGTGCAGTTTGAGTGCCCTTGGGCTGACGACGAAGCAAGACGTAGTTTGTTGTTGATAGTGAGGATGGTAAATTGTTAAGCTGATTAAAAACATGTTTTGCCATTTAAGTTGTGTGCTTTGTTATTCTTAAGCATTCAGTATAGCGTAGGTAGCGTAGGATGTACTAATAACTGCCTGACGGCAGTTAATAAATATTCACCGGTTATCCCTCTGTGGCTGATGGACCTCAGCATAAACATTCATATATCACATTTCGGTCTGGGCCTACTGACCTTAGTGCAAACTGACTTACTATAAGTTAGCAGTTAATTTCCGAGGAAATTGAGGAGAAACAATCTTCAAACTAGAGTATCTACCAGAAAGCACACGGAGGATGCTGGGAGACCCCCTGATGAGCCGAACCCCCCGAAGCTGTGTCATGCAGCGGTAGAATATCAGCGGAACGTGCGTGTTTGGGCTTTTAGCTAGTACAGAACGTGACCGATCTCATGAAATGTTGATCGAAATTCTGAAATGTGTTTTCGCTTAGGTAGGATTATTTAGGTGGATTTGTAATACTGATCATCATGAGGCATAATCCTATAATGTTTTGGACTAGCCTGAATGTCGACTTTTGAATGCACTTCTTTTTGGCCTCCTATGGAAACGGCACTCGGCAAAAATGACTACTTAAGTAGTATGTATTTCCACATTGTTTTTCGACTGTCTTATAAATTAAAATATATTTTGCAGAAAACACGCACAAAATATGTTTTCATTCACTCATTTGGCAACAAATCGCATTGTCTTCATATTTTATATCCAAAGAAAGCGTACGTTTGTGCTTTTAGAAAGTTTTCCAATTCCCGGACCATTTTGAGCCTGAGCAGCCATTGCGTTGACGTTTAGTGGTTTCTGTCTACAAAACCCATGCCTTCTGAGAAATTAAAATCATAAATTCCTCTATGCCTTTAGGAAGATACTATATAGAGTTCATAAAATTTTGCAATGGATACGGACAACATGCTTTACATTTCTTGTGGAGCGTTTGTAAACGGACATGTGCGATCCTGCATGTACGCACATCGCATGGTCTGAAAAATCTCATAATTGAAAAAAATTAAAAACACCTAATTATACCATTTCTTCAAGTATAATATGTAAATAAAATGTGATTTTCTACCAAATGACCTAAAGAAAGCATATTTTTGGACACGTTTTCTAAAAATTATATGTAAGTTTATAAGACAGTCGAAAATCAATGCGGCAACCGCATGCTACATAAGTAGTCATTTTTTCCAAGTGCTGTTTCTACAGGGGGTCAAAAAGAAGTTAGTTTATAAGCCCACCTCCTGATAAGTCCGAAATACCATAGAATTATGCTGCATGATAATCAATATTAAAACTTTACCTAAGAAATCCTTCCTAATCGAAAACGCATTCCAGAATTTCGGCCAACATTTTATGAGATCGGTCACTTACTGTACCTGTACTGCTAGTATGGTACCTTGTAATGCTAAAAAGTAGGTATTGTCGTTTTTAGCGTTCTTTGCATGCTGGAAATCCTTTCGGGGGTTTACTCTAACACCCGTTTTAAGTGCCAGCTGACTCTGACAAGGCCATTTGTTTGAGATGCTTTTTTTGAAAGAAAATCGGTTTCGGGGGTCGCATTTGTATATGCTGTTGGAGGACGCGTTTTCCGGCCCTGTGGATTTACTGCCTCTTTGATTTATCATAAAAAGCGTTTTAGACATAAAAAGGTTCTTTTACCCAAGTGTAACTGTGTATATAGTGCTGAAGGGATTTTGCGATCTCCTTATTGCATAATGCAGACTGTCCATATCCTAGTGACACCAACTTAACCATGATAATGCAAAAAATTCAAAAAATCGTCCCCCTTCTTTTCATCAGTGCATGTGTTTGAGAAAAACCCGGCTCACGTCTCTTTCTTTTATACGTTTCCATATGTTTTACGCGTGCGTAATTTTTGGTGGTAGCGTGATCTTTTCTAGGCATTGATTATGTAAATTCCCAGGTAACTCTGCAAATGCTGTTCCCTCTATCCAGCGCCTAGTTTCCCCAGTAAACAACCTGGCGCGCCTTATGCTTCCATAAAGCCCCAGTAGATAGCCACAGCTAACGCTGTGACTCATTCCTACTCAGGACTGAGAGTGCCTGGTTCCAAGCTTAACTGTCCACACATGAAGGGTCTTACTGAGTTTATCTCTTAACTACATTTCGAGCTTGCTTCGTCCGCTGAAAGTTTGGTTGGTTGCACGAGAGGTGCGCGGTCTCCCATGTTCACTTGTAATCTGATCGATAAGCATACCCTCGTCTGTAGCATGGCTAGTGTCCTTTGTGTCGTATTTAATCCGGCAGGTATCGGACTGCTCACTCTGTACAGCAGGTTGCCTTAATCCCCTTAACCAACTCATCGGCCATTTTGTATGCCCACGACCATTGTCTGCTTACGCTGAAATCTCTACCACCCCTACTATGAGTATAGTGAGCTTTTACGAGGGTTGTCGCACCTTCGAATTCCGTTAGCTGGCCAACCAGTCCTGTGGAGAGTTCTTCTGAGGTATTTGATTTAAAATCCGAGGCTTCGGTTCATATGTAACCCGGTTTTTGGGCGAATTCATTTTCTTATCTGTGTGGAAACGCGGCCAGGGATGAGCCCTTATGGTCCCTTCCCCGTTCGCTTTCCACTTCTGCTTTTTGGTTTAGAAAGTGATTCCTTACTCATACCTGCACCATTTATGACTTTATTCTTCATTTTGTACGACAGCAGATAGCTACAGACGAATCGCCTCTTCAGGTGCAATGTCATTATATTCCATATTTTTTTAAAAAAAAGAGGTTTCTCACTTAAGACTATATTTTGAGTAGAATTTAGATAATGAAGTTGTCTCGACAAGACACAAGTCATTGCAGACGGGCGTTGTCCCAACACACATTCTTGGGTTTTGACTCTTAGGAATAATTCAGAAGAGCATTTGGCGAGTTTACGCGTGCTTTCAATACATTTTCATCTGACCTGTACATTTATATGTGAACGAGGTGCAAACTGAGCGTGTGAGTGATAAGAGCAATCAATTACGGTTCGTCCTTCCATACAAGCGGGGTATGTGAATAGAGTGGGGGGAGTGGGGGGGGGGAGAGGAGAGGAGGCAGCTACTTCTGCTGTTGCCAGTAAGCGCTGACCCAGTCGCTTAGGATAGTTAGGTGGGACCTTGCAAATCACACGGAAGGCTTCGTTGGAATCCACATGGTGCCTAGAATAAACCATGTGTGCGAGGATGGGGCTGTGCATGCTCCTTACTTTACCCTTCCTCAACCAGGCCGGCAGGTGTTGTCGTATTCTTGCGGATAGGCGCCGACTCCTACGACCAATGTAGTCTGCTCCCCATGAGCAAGTAAAGAAGTAAATGCACGTGGAGGTGGTCTGAGCTGGTAGCCTCTCTTTGCCTTCCCCGCGTAAGACGGGTTTGGTCGAAAACAATACTTGAACTCTTGCTGCCGGAAAGGTCCGTGAAACGGCTTGCTCAAGGCGCCTCTCAGGAGCTAACTCACCGTTTTCCCTTAAAAGGAAACTTTGAGGATCAGAGTTTTTTCTTCTGCGGTCGGTATGATGAGTTTTGCCGGTCGTTCGGCACGATTCCTTGCAGTAAATCTGTCAGGATACCCGTTCTCGCGAAGCAGGTACTGAATCCTTTTAAGTTCCTCATCAACGCTATCTGCCGAACAGATTTTTCTAGCCATTTGCGCTAAACAGCGGATCAGACTACGTTTCTGTTGAAGGAGGACGAAACTGTAGAAGTTCGTATATTATTCAGACCAGGCGTTCTTTCGAGAGACACTTCTTCAGATGCTGCTGTCAGTTCTTCTGCTTAGAAATGCGTCTTGGAAAGACAGTGGGTCTGCCCTTCCCACCTCCAACGCAAACCTGGTCGACGGATGTGCTTGATTTACAGCATCCAAGAGGGTAGTTATGTCGGTTTCTCTGTTGGCAATTGCAAAGATGTCGTCAACGTAGCGGTCGTAGTGCCTTAGCTTATTGATTTGGTCGTTTAACTGACACTTCGCTACTGTTCTCATGAAGACATCGGTTAGGAGAGGACCAAGAGGCGATCCCATAGCAACTCCATCTATTTGTCTATATATTTGATTGTCGAAAAGAAACTGCAAATGTTGTGTGCATTTTAGTAATACTTCCTTGAGTGCGCTAGTCGGAATAAAAACTTTCCATACAGCAAACTGCCTCCGACAGTGACCGGACAACCTGGATTTTCAGACTCAAAAAGACTGACATTCCTAACCTTTTGGGAAACTACCTTTTAATCCTATTTCAGCGTGCTACTCTTGTGTATAGCTGCGCTTTTTACACCTCTGTCCGCTTCTATTTCCTGTAGCCAAAATTGGCAAACCTTGAGAATCTCCTACACCTGAAGCCTTGGCACGCAGTCGCCATTCCTTTCGATCTGACCTCTTCTCAGGACTCCGGTGGTACCTCGGAAGTTAGTCTACAACTGGAAACAGGGGAGACATTGCAGAGCATTAACGGGACTCTAGCTGACGTGAGCCCTAGTCACTTAACCTCCTCTTCATTTGTCTTTGTTTCCAACAAAACTAAGGGGAACTAATGCGTAACACATGGCCACCTTGTTTTGAAGAGTTATCTTACAGTAAATCAGAGACAATTTTTCCCATTTATGTCGTGCTGCTACCATCCTTCTGGGTCTTTTTGTATATATCAAGCCGTCATACTTCGGCGTTTCCTAGCATTATTGGGTCCGGAGTCTCGTTGCCCAACTCACGGTGTAAGTAAGTAAGTAAGAAGAAAGTATAAATTCAAAATACGTATTTTCGTTCCAGTTAGTAAGACATGTTGTCAGAACCTCCGGCGGATCTTTAAATGTTACTGTGACCTTCGGTCTTGCGTTTTAATCGAACGCGATGGTGCGTGATCCGGGACTACGTGCTTTATTTCACTCCTCTAACTTCACACGTACGCGATCCTTTGACCATCGTAAACGAGGCCAATCATTGCCCCAGAAGGTGGGCCCACCGGTGACCGGCTCGTGGACCTATAAATAGTGAATCAGACTTCCGGTGCGTCAATCTCACCAATTCGGTCCTCGTTTTGGGTCCTTCACCTGTAGTACGATAGGTTCTTAATTTTGAATATTTTATGATGAGTACTAATAACTAGCTACTTCGTACTCCAGTCACATTTCACTATGTCTATGCGTCTTAAAGGTATTTTTGCCAGAGTTCTCCCTTCGTCTCCTAGGATAGAAGCACGAGACGCGTGAGTAGCCTTATTAGAGTTCGTCATGAGTGCATATTTTGTAATGAGCGGAATCGTACCTCCGGTCTTTCACATGCGAGGTGACGGCGTTTCCACTGGACGCTGGGATGGACGAGGATTATTATTTCCGAACGTTTAGACACGGTTTTGAATAGCATTCAGGTTCCGCCGATTTCCTCCGTGGGAGACTCAATTACTGTCCGCGATAAATTCCATTGATGGCCTGTCAAATCATATCTTCTCAGCAAAATTTAGTGTGTTAAACGTCAAACTTTCGGATTCATCGAAGTTGTCTGCTGGAATCGCTTATTCTCGCGTACAGACGTAGTCAGACGCGAGGAAATCGTTCAAACTTCTCACTTGAATACATTGGTAATTTGATAAACCTCCTTCATAAAAGCAGCATCTTGGAGGTTCTAGCGGAAGACCAGATCAATTGTGCACTATGCACAGCCAAGCCTAACAGACTGGTACGTTAATTCGACTGGCGGAACAATCAGGTATGTACTGTGTCATTAGGAAGCAAAGAAGACATAATTTGGGAGAATACTGCTAAGAGGCCTTTTTTAAAAAAGACTGCCTAAAAACAGGAATCTGACCAATATAACTAAATCAGTATTGCTCTTTGGTTTACTTACAGGAACAGAGATAATTAAACAACCAATACGGTTGGGGGAAACCCGTCAGTGAAACACTTCCAGCATTTTGAATAAGAGGTCAAATGAGGACAATAGACTACGAGCAGGTCTGGCTCTGAGATCAGGCTAGATCGTTGAGCGTCACTGCTAGTGTGCACACGTCTGACGGCGGGGTTCGAATGGCTAGACAGGGAGTAAACGTTCGAACCGGCCCTCTCTCGAGCTACTAAGCACTGTCTTAACACCCGTGCTCACGACACTAATTTGCGGCTTCACGAAGCCATGCTCTGAACAGCGGTTTCGGCAACTACATCCACTGGCAGACGAGGCTATCTGAGAGGTCATCTCATTTTTCCAGCATGGATAAAATTTGAAATGTGTCTTGTAGAGAGACGGGTCATGTTGTAACACGCTACGGGGGCGGAGGAAAGTCATACTAGGTCAGGCACTGGATCCTGTCTCATTTCCAGTCGCCTGGGTCTAGTCCTATCAGTGGCACCTGGCGGACGTGAGGAGAGGGTGATGTTGCTGTTGTGCCAGTTTGACTCATTATAATTTAGCGCACACACGCACACACGACAGCTCGAATAACTATGTCCGCCGTGTGTTCCACAGTAGGGTGAGAGGAGGGACGATGATTGGTACGTGGGCTGGTTTATTGTGGTAGTAGATCTGCACAGCATCTGCTGCACCCTCTCCTTCTCCCACACCTGGACCCGGTGTCGAGATATAGTCAAGAAAACCGAAGGCGAGAGAGGGTGCAGGTGGATGGCACGGCCGGACCCGCACCTAGGCGTGACACCACACGACCTGGTTCATAACGTATTTTGACCAGGGTATTTTACAACAGCAGAGGGGGCGGGGAGGGCTCGAAACTGTTTTGACATCTTTGCTTCACGCCGTGACGAATAAAAGTGGCAGCATGTAGCACGCAATCTATATGTACATCTTTACGCCTACTAGTTCCGTTGTAGTAAAACAAACACTGTCTAACAAGCTTATTACTTCGTTTAACGATATAAAACGTTACGGTTTTGATAAACGGAATTTGTAAAGAGCAAATTGCTTCCTGATTCATCAGAATAATGCGCTTTCCTCTGTAATTCAACGTGTGCAAATAAGGTGTTAATATGGGATACTTATAAGAATCGGAAATTACGTGGATATCCAACGACGCAAAAATTTGCCTAATCTTGGCCGGTTTCACCTCAATGAAACTGAAATAGCGTGACATTTTCATTAGAAAAGGTTTTTTGATTCCGATCAGTTCTAAAATCAAAAATAACCACACCAAATATATGCCGTCCTAGCAACTCAAATACAGATCTCGACATTTCCTGATTTAGGTCATCTACCGTATATGTAATGAGCATCCCAGGATACTTAATTAGAAAGAAATAACTGTCTCGTGTATCATGTCTTCTAAGAGCACCCGAAAACTGTTGCGAAACGATTGGTGAATGAGGCTCTATTGGAGGTTAGTGTCTCGATGCAGCACTGACAGTGTAATGGCATGGCACGGAAACGCTTCTTCCTTATAGCTCAAACTACCTGGCAGTCAATTTCATCCTTCCCGTTCCATCTTGTAGACCGTGGGAGTTGCCTCAGAGGCGGAGGATGTCTGCAACTGGCAACCTCTCTGGTGGTTGGAACGCCACCGGTCGCATTTCCGCAGGTACAGCCAGGAGCCCCTTCCCAGAGACATGGACTTCTTTGAAGACGTGCCGCGCGATGAGGAGGGCCTGTGTAGAGAACTGTTGCAGCAGTCCACCTTCACTTCCGTTTGCTCCTGTCCGCCAGGGTGGGCCGGTCTCGGTTGCATGGTGAAACCACCGGCAATCGCTTCGCCTAAGCAACCTGCGCCTCCTCCCGATCCTTCTACTCCTCCTTCCGTAGGCAGAAGTCAATTGACTATGCTGAGTCGTCCGGCCATTCCTCGCCCCAACGGCACCATCTGGCCTGGTCCGTCCACCTCAGCTCGGTGGCTGGCTTGGAGCAACCTCGCCTTCATTCCTGCTATACTACTCGCCTTCGTTCGTCGTCTGTGGATACCCTTTCTGGCTTACAGCTACACCATGTCTTTCTCAATTGTGCGTCCGTCGACTTTTGCTCTTTTCCTAAAGTCCAACTCATACCATTTAGATGAAGTACAGGAATTTTTATTCCTGTCTCCGAAGCTCGTTTTACAGCCTACAAAATAATTTGTTCCTGAGAAATGTTTGACTGGCCTCTTGCTTCATTGGCTCAGGGCGCCATATTATGGATTTTTTGCAGTTTTATTGGGAGTTTCGCTTTGACATCGCTTCATGATACCTCCAGTGTACCATTCTTCAGTGCAGACAACAGTTTTACCACGGTGGTCCTTTTCGTTAGATTTATAAGCCAGTTTTTTTGGGATTCTTCGGCGAGCGAAGTTCACGATTAAGTTTATTTCTCACGTAGACTTTGCTGCCGACTTGCGAAGAACAGCTGTCGTTGTAAGGATTACTAAAACATAAGTGCTAAAATCCAGTTTGGACCTAGTCATGTTCCCTATTCTCTCTAAGATCTCACAGACCTATTACTTTGCTGTCTTTCGGTCGACACTTGAATACTGCCTTCTGCGCTGATCCCGGCCAAGCCGGAAGATTTTTTCTGATTTTTCCTCAAATGCTATTCCTTTTCCGTCACCTGTTTTTCTCATCCCACAGAAGGTGGCCCTAACTATCCGGTCTGGACTGGTATCGCCACTTATAACATAAATAAGTACCAAGACGAAATCTGGAGACAAATATCCGAAAAGTAGAATAGCAGCTTCCGCTTTATTTGCTGTAAATAATCAGTCATATACTAACGGGGCTGAGTGCTGCGATTAAGGCACTTTAGACAACAGTTGACAGTGAAAATTATTCGAATCTATTATTTCAGTTTGTTGTCTTCTGCCAATGTACAGACCCTCTGGTTTTTTTCATTCCTTTTTATTCAAACCTCCTCCGCAAATTCTGAAGGTTTTTTCGCTTTACTGATGCCTATTCCAGATGTACCATATCTGTGACACGGACGTCCTACTGATTGCGGCCAGTCTTCCAGACCGCGTGCTTGGTGGTGCCCATCACTCGTTCGGCGGATTCGCTATTTCTAAGTTCGATATGTACAAGCTTATTGGCTACAAGACGGCACCGGGGTCGGCGACAGGGTCACCCCTCCTGCCCTCCTACCTGCCTTCCTATGCCAGTGACGGAGACGCGAGCTATCGTCTCGATGCCTCCGAGGTCAGCCTCCTGCGATTCACTTCCCTGCAGTGTCCCCTGCCTCTAGAGACTCTGTCACTCTGTGACTTCTTCGGCGGCGTCTTCTCTATCGCCGTGACAGCCCTCGCCGCTAGTGCTCTGCCTGTCCTCCTGGCTGAGATCGTTATTGTTGTGACGGTGCTCGCCCTCACTGTGGCCGTCCAGGTCATGCGGTACTCGCCCTGGTTCCATATTATACCGGTCGTCTCCTTTGTTACCATTCTCCTCTCCTCTTGGGTATGTTCATCTATGAAACTCTGTCCTTTTTCTTCTATGCATATACAGTAAATGTGCTATTACAGGAAATGGTAACCGAAATCCTGAAATGCGTTCTCAATCAGAAAAGATTAATTAAGTAGGGTTGCTTTGTTAATTAACGTGTTGAACGATACCGAGATATCCGACTTACGTCAAGATCCTGGCTTTCGAGCGAGCTGGTTATCGGCCGCCTGCGTAAGCAATATTCCGTAAAAATGACCGCTTAAGTGGCATGGATTTTGCCATTTATTTCCGATTCCCTTATAAATTGAAATATATATTATAGAAAAAAAATCACAAAAATATTCCCTTTTTGCTCATTTTGTAGCTAATTACGTCTCCTTCGGATTTCATGCTTGAAGAAAGAGTGTTTTTAACTTCAAAAAGGTTTATGGTTATGAAATTTTTCAGGACCGTGAAATGTCCAACTGGAACCGCAACAGATCAGCCCGTTTGTTAATGCTGCATAGAAACGGAAAAACTTGATCCACACTAAATACAAGATATCATGAACTCAGTGTGTCCTCTTCATAGTAACATGTGGAACTGTATGATTGTTCTTACACGGAAAGCATACAGCTTCTAGTTTGGAAACTCTGAATTCAAGGGTAACAGCAAGTCGGGTGCAAAATTATTCAGGAATCAAGGAAGTTTCTCAAACCGAATGATAATATTTCTTGAAGTATAAGATCAGAGCAATGCGAAATTTTCTACTTAATGAGTAAAAAAATAAGTTATTTTATGCATCTTTTCTATAGACTATATTTGAATTTATAAGGGCATCAGAAATCGGTGATAAAAATTCATGCTACTTAAGCAGTCATTATTTGCGGAACGTAGTATATGCAAGTGGTCGATGAGAAGCTCATTCGAAAGCCAGCATCCTGACGTGAAGGAAATATTTTAACATTGTGCGACACGGCGATTAACATTATAACCCTCATTAAGTAATCTTTTCGAATTAAGAACACGTTTCACCCCACACTGAGGCGACCCAGTTACGAGCCTTGGTTCCATTACGCTGCTGAAACTTCCCTCAAACCTCAACTTTGGATCATCGGCTGGGTTTAAGTGTGCCTGTTTGCCCAGGAGTATGACAGTTCGATCGTCGTCGCCGACGATATTCACCGTGACTTTCCCAGCAAAGTGAGAGTGGACACAGTGATTTGTGTGTAAATTAGTTTATAGTGGCAGTAGGCTTGCGCAGCATCTGCCTCACTCTCATCCTCCCCCACCTTTCAAGACACAGTCAGAGAGACCAGAGGCAGGGGAGAGCTCGGTCGGCTGGCACGGCCGGACCCGCACCTAGGCATACCATCACACACTCCCTCGCTTACAGCAAACACTTTAACAGACTTTTAACCAGCAACAAAAAACGTATCAGAAAGAGGAGAGAATGCTACAAGTCACTGGGCAACCGCGCACACGACCTAGATGTGCAGCGGGAGCGCAAGCACATCTCCCGGTAGGGAATCAGGCGCCTGTCAGTTGCCACTGCTCTGAGGTTCCTGGTTTGCTGAATCATGGCATAGCAGACGCACACAATCCTTAAAGCCCAAGAGTATAGTTCACTGAAAAAGGACAGGAATTGGCCATAAATGACAATTGTCCCGATCGATTTTTGGTTTCTCACTAACCCGCCATCACGTATTCAAACCCCTTAGTCAAAAGGCCTCTCCATTCGGGTTACGTCAGCTCCATTCAGAGCTAACCAAATTATGCCCTATCACAACAACCTATTTAGGCTTTAGTTACCTTCATTGTTGACTAAGATCCCAGTAGTCCGATGTGTGAGGTGCTGCCATACAACTCCCACCCTCATTACGAGTTCTGCAAATCTGAAACCCTTTTTACTGCCATCCACTCGATGTTCTTCTCTCTCAACTCAGATCTACCGGACTGTCCAACTGAAACGACTGTTCCCGCCGATTCAGTGGCTCCTACTCAGCTTCCTACCGTCTGTACTTCTCTCCTTGACTGCTGTTTCAATATTCCTTTCGCCCCAAATGAAATCCAATTACACGCATATGCACAGTCTCTGGCATATTCTGATCGCTTTCGCTCTCCTTGGTGCCCTGCCATGGCCGATGCGATGGCGGAGGGCCCTATCACCGGTAATACCGCCCTCAACAGCCCTCTCCTGTGGCGGCAACCAACGCACGCTTAGTAGTACTCGTCGACGAGTGTCTTCCCCGAATGACCTACTGGGCGCCGCCTCAGGCAGTCCCATGAGTCCCAACAGTCTTCTGGACGCCAGCACCGTAAAGTCCACTCTAGCACGTATCTACGCCCAACTGACTAGGGTCTTCTCGGTGTTGTCCTCCTTCAAGTCAAGAGTGGAGACTAGATTCGACAAGCTGCTCGAGCTGAACTTCCTCCTTGACCCTCTCGTAGCTCGATTCCCAAAACTCAGGGTTATACTTCCACACGGTAATTCGCATTGTCTTATTTGGACTGTTGTATGTTAAGTTTGCGCAAAGTCCATACTTCGTGTCCAGACGTCTAGTGTTTTTTTGCCAGTCAGCACAAGGAAGTATACAGATGTTATTCAAATGTGTTGGGCGCCTACCTCAAACAGCACCGCTGTGTTGTCGCAGGGTTTTGTACCCGTTACTATGGCGTGGCGCAACGTAGCATTCATTGCATAATTAATGACTACATGTTTAGGAGAGGGAGTGAAGGTACGAGTTCTGCAATTTCAGTGCCTAATTATGATTGACGCATAATCTGGTATCAGAGGTCCGTCTGTTAGGTTTTGAATGACAACGCAATCATTCGCTTCGCATCCAGGGTAGGGACGCACGACCTTCCTTACCAGCTTCAGCCTACGCTCGGTAACTGATGGAACATTCGAGAATTGTGTGGTTAGAACTTGTTTACTGTAACTGTACATATTTGCACAGGAATCTGCGAATGCCGTTCAGCTCCTAACCTGATTTCTAAAATTACTGTTCTACTGTTATATGACGGGCTTATTTCGGTGTAGTTTATTTGAATCTGGCGCTTCATACCTGGAAGGTTCTGACTCGCCGAACATCCGCTGCTTAGTCGAGTGCAATCTGGAGTGCTTTGAGAAAAAACTTGCTGTGTTTAGCAGCTTTTTTGGTCCTGTTAATACCGGAAATTGTTCTGCATGAATATCGTATTGTCTTGTGTCGGACCATCTCTCCGAGTAAAACGGACTTAGTAGAATCGGCAGTATGTGGTGATGCTCTCCGAATCTCATATCTTGTGAAAACACAATTAAGGCCTACAGTTAGTCTTCTTGTGGGCTACTCCACATTCGATGCTCAATGAGACGGCCGTCAGTGAAGACTAGCTGCGAATTAGAAATCCTCGGGTCTGACTTGTAAGTAGTTTTGGACCATGCCGCGATTGTACCCTCATGTGTAGAGGGGCACCTACCCAAGAATTTAATAATTTAATTTAATTTAATTTTTATCCACTCGTGGACGAGACACGATCGCTGGAACAAGAACTCTATTCGCCCGAAATTTCGGACTCCTGCACGAACCCATCATCAGACACAATAGCAGATAGGGGTAGTTCATGCACAAGGGGCAGCAGTATTTATAGGATGCAGTCGCCATGCGATCGCATACCTATGTAAATTCACGGATCTCTCCCTCATCTGGGATTGTTGTTCTGGGCGTGATGACTGTTCGATGGCCGACATTCGCGTCGTTAGTTGCTGCGATTTCATCACGGGTGTTGAATGTTGGTGTAGTTTTGGTGTATCTGCTAGTGTCTCTGATGGCGGGTTCTAACAGATATCCGAAACTTCAGGCAAATATGGCCCTTGCTCCAGCGATCGCGTCTTCTTCTTCTTCGCGACTTCTTCCCGGGAGTCTTCTCTGCTTCTACTGGTTTTATCCCCTATCCCCTATTCAACACAATCCGGTAGCTGTAAGCTGTAACGTAGAGAAGGATGCAGACATCCACCTTCGGATCTAAAATCTGAACCAAATCATCCTCCAAGCAAGCTGCCCATTTAAATGCTGACAGGATATCCATGACTTGACCAGATGCTTGGATGACAGTAGGCTTGCGGTCCGCGCGCTCTGATTGCATGCATTAGGCACGAATTGCTCCCAACAGCAACTAAATTCTACCTACAGGACACTTAATCTGCCTAGGCGCCTGCACCTAGTGGCTCCGAAGATTGCCAATGGGAGAGATAGCTTAGTCACCGAGACTGTGCGCAAAGCTGCGATAGTTCCTTCATGGTTGGGCTTATGATATGCGCATGTAAAGTCTGGTCCGACATGGAAAAGTGGATCGCCTGGATCGGGATGGACGCTAGATTGGCTCCTAAGCTCAACCCCCTTTCCCGATCAGCTTGACCTAATCATACCTCTGGAAGATAGGATGACAGCAACGTCAGTAGTTTACCACTCTGACAAGGGCGATTTTCACGAAGTTTGTAAAGCAGCATGTGTAAAGGGCCTCGAAGATTGAACCTAACAATTACTATATTAATACGACGGTTACATACTTTCTGATGGCAACATTTCGATCGCTTTGTTGGTTCTTCAGGCACAATAATAGTCTTTTAGGACGTTTTTCGATAGGACTGACTTACGCGGGTGTCTAAACAGGACATCAGAACAGGGATCGCCTGCAACAGGAGTGTTTTTGAGCCAAATTTATGTGAACCTTGGGTTGGATCTAAGGTAAGGGTTAAGTTAAAGATTAGGTTCAAGGTTAAAGTTAACAGTAACGTAAGCCAGGATCCAGTTCAGGGTTAAGGTAGGGGCTAGTGATAGCTGTAAGCTCGAGGTTTAGGCCAGGATTAGGGTCAAGATTAGGGCAGCGGTTTGGTTTTATACAAGGGTTATTGTTGGGGTTTGGACACAGGAATATTTCGTCCTTTCTAGAATTATGCGCAGGTTCACCGTTTTTACTTGGCCGAGTTGCTCCTATTTCCATGTCCTGCTTAGGGGGCCAAATATTGACCACAGTCCGCAAGCGGAGATGCAAAACAAGTTTACTGCTCTTGATGATCGTGGTCCATTAGGGGCTTTCGTTTTATTTTAGAAATGGCGAAATCAAACGGCAGTAGTTGACTTAGAGCAAAGCTACAGTGTTCCACAGATTCGAGTAGGAATATGAACCGAACTCTCCTGGCTGATCTGCTTATAAGTGGCATATCGATAAAATGCCGGAGGCAGATTTTGGGAAGTCTGGGTCCGAGGCGGAGAGGGGGGCACCACACGAACAGGTGTTTAATCTGGCGTCGAGGAGCAGTACTTAACACCTTCGCCCCAATCTCAGGGTCAGGATTCTGGAGAACACTAGAGACTCTACCGAAATGAACGCCCCTGGTTACGTTTCATTCATAGAATGGATTGCCGTTGGCTTTGAAGTCTACTTATTATACAGTCAAATTTTCCACTCGTCCTGGTTATTCCATATAGCCGTCCGAAAAGGTTTGGAGTCGAAACAAACAACATTTTTATCAAACCTCAGCAGTGAGGGGGTGACATGTGAATAGATCACCTTATGACATTGAGCTCTGCGGAAAACGCTATGCCGAGTAAGTTACTTGAGACCTTTGTATGAGCTCAGACCCTCATAGTATATCAAGAAACCAGTTTGGCTCCAGGCTGCGTTATGGACATAAAATCCTTGCCAATCGGCAGCCGTACTTTTCTACTGTCCTGTTGAAATGATCTTTTTGCGCTATTCTACAGGTTACTGGCCGAAGCGAAGCCATAAAGCGCCCAAAACGCTGTCGGAGATCGTTTAGCCGAGCGTGCCTTTTTCCCCTGACCGGAACCGCCAACGACGCGCTGTCTTAATCCGCTGGCGGGCTTCCTTTGTGATACATTCCTTACTCTTCTCTCCATAGGACCAACTCTTAAGTGATCTGCAGTTTTTGTAGACCAGTTACTCCGAATAACCATGCCCAATTTTACATTTTCAATCTCACCGTGTGCAGCGATTTGTAGCCTACCCGTGTTATCAGTGTTATGGAGTGTTATGGATCTATTAAGGAAAAAGGGCACTGGGACAGGTGCATTACTTTTTGACCTGATTTTAACAACCTGAGGAATTTTGGGACTGTTTTCCCTTGTATGTAAGTAGAAACTATGGCCTGAACTTTATCCGTTTTTTGTCATTCATGGCTGTCTGTAACGGTGCTGGACAGAAAGTCTGAATCAGGTACACAAAACTCGACGTCCATATGGGCGGTTCGGTATTCGATCTACCCCGAGAGTGACAGACGACTCGCGAAAGCCACTTGTCTACAAGGCTCCCGAGCGTTAGCAGAACGTACGTCGGTGCAGTGGGTCGTAGGTCGCGCTGATAGTGCATTAGTTAGCACGACACAGCAACCGCAACCACCCCCCACCTGCCCTCACTGCGACCGCACCTTCACCTCACACAACGGCCTGGTCGGTCACTTGCGAATCCATCGCACAGAGTCTGGCGAACCAGTGCCTGGAGCACCAACCTACACTCACCGCACTCGCCTCCACTGCCCACACTGCCCTCGCACCTTCACGCATCGCATGGGTCTATTCGGCCACATGCGCATCCACAACGACCTGCGGTAGACAACCGCCGGTCACACCACACATTCCCTCACTCCCTACCTCCTAACATCATCACCCTACTAGACGTCAACCCTCACACACCTCATGCACTCAACTGCCGCCTCCCACGCAAGTGGGAAGTGTGCATCTCGACTCGGTCCCCATGCGGCCTCGGCTGCACGAGTGACTTGAGTCCGAGACTATCCCGACACGTCAAGTGTTATTGTTGTGTGAACCAGGGGGTGTGGTGGAACGCCAAGGTGAGGATCCGTCCGAGCCATCCACCTGCGGCCTCCCTCGTCTCCGGTCTTCTTGACTCTGTCTTGACACCGGGCCCAGGCGGGGGAGGAGGAGAGAGTGTAGGTAGATGCTACGCAAGTCTACTGGCACTATAAACCCCTGCGTAAGTCACCGTCCCTGCTCCCACCGCTGCTGCAGCTGTGGGGCACACGGTGGACATCGTCGAAATCGACGTTCGAACTGTCATGGAGTCACATGTAGTTTGTACTAACACTTTATTAGTAACAAATTACAAAGGATAAATATTCCAAATAAAAGTTTTGTGCACCCTGGCGGCGTATGCAAGAGGCTCACATGCGTATGTACACTGGGTAGTTTGTAAAATCCAAACTTCATTTGGTCACAGTTGGGAATTCCATCAGTCACCTCGCGCACCGCGATTTTATGACGTGCTCCTTGAATTCGGTCGTGTTGGCACACTGAAAGTTTCAAGCGGCGCACATTTTGAGCTCGAAGACGAGAGCTTTTCGGTCAGCCCTAATTATTGAAAAAAGGGATTATTCTGGTGTGTATATGTAGCAATGCGAATTTACAAACTGTTCAACACATTTCTCGTTTTGTGTTACTTTCAGACGTTCCAGTATCGAAAAAACAGTAGTCAGGAGTTTCCAGCCGTTCAATGTTCACACCTGGACGGAATGGTGTATTTTTAGCATGAAATTGGGTACTTTTGGTACCTCTGCAAGCAAGAGTCGAGACACTTAATGCGGTTGCTCTCTAAGAAAGCCTAGATGATTTGACCAAGGTCAGTAACAGACAGGGACCCACGTTCATGTCCACGCCAAGTTGGGATGTCCATTTATTAATGTCGATTGTAAAAAACGCGACGTAGTCCACACCCATTTCAAAACTTTATGAGTCCTGTGTAACGTCTTCTCAATAGCATATAGAAATGTATGATTTTCCCTACACATAAAATATACAGCTTATAGTTTTGCTACCCTGAACGCAACTGTTACAGCAGGTCAAGCTTAGCATTATTCGGGAATCCAAAAAGCCTGCATATCGCTGCACAGGCCTGGTGATGAATAATCGTAACCGTACGTTTACCGGACTTGACTCCCTAAATGTTTACATGGGTATCCCGTTGGACAAAAAAGTTCTATTTTACCCGAAAGATACTTCTTCTTTGAGCATAAAATTTGAAGGCTACATAATCTGCCACCAAGTGAATACAAGAGGGGATTTTTGCGTAAGGTTTTGGTAAAATATGTATGCGTTTATAGGGGCAACGAGATTGGAAAAATTCATGCCATTTAAGTAGTCCTCCTGTTCAGAATGCAGTTTTGCGGGCGACCGAAAGGAAGCTCGTTCCGAAGTGGGGATCCTGACGTGACTGAAAGTTTACAGGATAATTAGTATTACAGCCCTACCCAATTAATATTTTGTAGTCGAAAACACATTTTAGATCTCCGCTAACGTCTCGTGCTATGTATCTAATTCACCTGGAATGCTTTCGCACTAAAGGTAAACCAGCATTATACGCATTACGCGGTTATGCAACTAAATGTTTAAGCAAATTTTTTTGCTTCAGAGTTTCATTTGTACTTCAATGGCTGAGTTTCTGAGCTGTTTTCTAGCTAAATCTTTGTTGATAGAAGGTCTCAGGTCGAACGATTGAAGTACTAGTGAGTTTAACCCCCCATCTGTCACGAAAAATGCTGTAATTGACTGCGAGTTGTCTGCGATGTCATCTGAACTGTGCTGATTAACAAACTATGCTTGACTCAACTCCTGGCGGATTTCGATATGTGAAAAAAAAACATTCGAGAAATGTAGAAAGTAATTCTGTACGCACGATTCCCGTGACAATATCAAAGACAGTGGCTGCGAATTGGTAGCCAACTCGAAATAGTCTCAGTTGGAGCGGAGAAAAATACTGTTCAGCTTCTCTTGGAGCTATAATTCAGTATGTATAAGGGAGACAGGCAGAGCCCTTGGAAAACCTTTTAACAGATATACGGATGAAAAACAGGCATATATCCACGTAACAGTTATGTCAGTAATTGATATCGAATAAATGTTCGAGCATCAAGTTGAAATTTGTCAAGTCTACTTCGAAAAGCCTCGGCGTTTTCCACCAAGACAACAAAATGTGCATTTTATTCCGCCCTTAAATCACTCGGTGGTGGAAAAAGTTGGTTTGTGCTTCAAGTTTCGCATATTTTGTTTTTCATTTCTAGTGGTAGCTCCCAAGAGTGTTCGTTCGTGCTAGATGTTGTGCGTTCTTCAAAAGGAGTAATCTTACTTCGCTCAGGGGCGCCAAGCCTGAACGCAACATTGTCGAATAAATGTTTCAAACACTCGGCCGGAAAGCTCTTCGTTACAATTGAAGAGGAATTCCTGATTGCTTTCATGAAACCCGTAGCCTTCCTTACTATCTTGGCGCAGTGAGATGGCGGTTTGAGAGTGAAAGTCTATCGCACACCTAGGTCGCTTAATTCGTTTGCTGGCTGGAATTGTTGACCTCCGATGAAATACTGACATTCAAATCTCATAATCTTTTGTAAATAGACCGTAGCCAAATGGCTTGGCATTTACTGAAATTGAACTCGTGAAGCCATTTATCCCACCGCAGTTGCGATCCATCCAAGTTATTTTGCAAGCTCAGCGCATCCTCCGGCTTTTCCGTTTAATTCCATACCTTCAGATTATAGGCAAACATTGCTTACTCACAGTTGAGGCAATCAAGGCGGTCGTTCACAAACATCAAAAACAGCACGAGATGAATCCCTATATTTGTTTTCGGAGAACAGGGGTGATGTCAGTCCACCGTTTGTCTTCGTCTATCCCTTCCATGCGGCAGAGCCGACACCTGGGACTTAAACGGGCGGTGCTATTCATCCTAGTCCTCCGAATACAATTAACGGGGATTCATATATTTGTATGGTCGTTTCCAAAGGGCGATCTGCCAAACGAGCGTATCCACGCTACCTGAACTGCAAAACCTTATAGCATGATTGATTAGCTTGCAGAGATGAATGGAGGACCATTACCTCAGACTGGGCCGTGGCCTCGCCCATCCCAATTTGGTTGAGTCCTTTGGACGGGGTAGGAAAACAGTCGGTCCCCCAAGAGTAGGTAGAACGGACGAACGGAAAAATAATTCAGTCTGAGGGCAGTTCTATACGCGCACGGGGGGTCCATAAACAAAATCTGGTAATTAAAGGGGTCCTGTAATCGACGTCGATAACCTCCGACGATATATTAAACCACAACCTACGCCACCTCCAACAGTATGCTAAATTTTGCTAGGAACGATTGGTCGCTTGCCATTCCTAAGGAATATGTTTTACGGAAAGCTGAGTTAACATCTAAATCCACATCTCAAACCAAAGTTCTCAAAGATGATTATGACAAGCAAACTGCAGGCGCGGGTTCTGCCGCAGTCACAGATATCCCTTAGAAGTATGCATTCCGAAGAGTTTTTCAATCGGGCTGCGAAAAAGGTGAAAGAATAAAAATTGAACAACTGATGAATACATTGAAAACAAACGAAAGAGAAACGAGCAAAACGGCATCAGTAGAGAAAACAAAAGGATCGCTTTAATCGCGCCGAAGGCAGCCATACTAACAGAAAATTTCTATCGTTAGGCACACGAAGGGCTCTGCCAATGCGAAGTGAATATTGATTTAAATGGCGAAAATATGCAGAATAACATTGGCTGAGCGATCTCCTTGGTCTGGCAATGGGATTTAAGAAAGAGATAAACAAAGACGGAAACGTATTTACGTCAGAGTTTTGGCATTTCCTATGAATTACTTATGGGTGGTCAGGAATGGGGAGGCAGGCAGCCAGGTCCATATCGTACGGGAATGGTGGGAAAGGGGGTTATATGGGTGGGGTAAATGGAATGGCTGGTAGAGGAATGCTGGAGTTTCTGAGTAAAAGTAAAGTTACCATGGAAAG